TGCTTCTGGCTAACTTTGCCATCACATAACTGTGAACATATATGGAAGAACTTAATGTGGTCTTTTGCACTTTCACTATTCATTTTCTGTTATAGGTTGCATAGTGAGATAGGAGACAGGTCAGTTTTCTTCCTAACTTCATCCATCAACTGGAGACGTTATGCACAAACTTTGACTGCAGTCATCCCAAATTATGCCTAACAAGCTACGGCTATGGCCTATGAAGTCGATATGTCGAAGAATGATGCTCGAATTCACGCCGCAAAGGAAGTCCGGATGGTCCTTAATCATGGTCTGCGAGGCATGTATCAACTTTCTCTCAGGTTTGCTGCTTACAGTGTTTTCAGCCAGTGGATTCTGGATAGTCACAATTGATGACCCAGCTTCTCGCTCTGTTATGTTACTCATTTGTAGGATATTTATGCCTATCTTCTCACCAACTGAGTGATCTTTGTAACTATGATGTTTCAGAAATATGCGATTATCCATCTAGGTCTATGGTTGATTTCGCATTTATGCATATGGGTCTATAATATTGGCAGAGATTTCTTTATCAGTTCATTCCAAGGTTCGGTTTGTTACTTTCTCAATGAAATCTGGCTCTTCCATTTGTTAGAACACTCAGAAGGGATAAAGATTAAAGATATGCTCTTTTTTGGGGTTAGGAAGTCTTGCTGGCAGATTTTTGGTAGTCCTGGAACAATTCTATGGGGAAGTGAATTGGTAGTTGTTATTGTTCATACTTAAATTTTCTTATCTCTAGCTGCTTCGGTGTACACAGGACCTATCAGCTAATCCAAAGTGCTCCTTCCTTTTTGCTAGAGATCCTCAGGACAGGATTGATTTAATGACTATCGTGCATGGAGGTACTATCTCTGTATGTTACTTCACTCATCTTCTTGCTTTGAGAGCAACATTGTAAGGTTGATTCACACCATAATGTGAAGAGATCTCTTTTAATTAATCTTCGAGTCTCTAAGCAAGACGAGGCTGCCACTAGAACTGCATATTTGGCCAAACATCCGAATCGTTCTGGGTAGTGTCTCTTTTGCCTCTGTAGTTTCTTTTTGTTGGATGTTCAAGACATCTTCGTTTGTCCTTGTGAGTTGGAAAACGAGTCAGCACTTTTCATATGAAGGTCGACTTTGGTGAGTTCTAACTTTTAAGGATCGAGCCAAAGATTGTACGATATACGTGAGTAGTAGATCTGCATTGCTTCAATCTGGAGGTTTGTGGATCAGTCAACTTTGTCTTTCTTTGAACTCACAGTTTCTATGTTTATGGCTAGGTTTGTTGATAATGCGAAACCTGAAAAGTTTACACTTTTGCATTTGGCATTACTGTGTGGAAACAACACCAGAGTTCAGCAAGGAAGAGTTCAAATATGCTAAAGTTGATCCAATATCCCTATTTGCAAAGCCGATTGCTGTATATCCTGCTCTTGTGATATATTTGACTAAATGGTATATTTCAGTTTTAGTGTAGGTATATGTGAATATATGAACCTCTGAAGAAATTTGGTTGAATGATTAGTGAAAGGAGTTAAAGTATGGACTTAGTGAATCCACATTTATTGATCCAATCCATGGGTCAGGACTCTTCGTTTGGGGATGATAATTATGAGTTGTTTATGCTATCATTCCCCCGCCCCAATGGACGGCTATGGTTTCAAGGTTTGCAAGTGTTAATTTGGTTGGATAGGCATTATAAGAAGTTAAGAACAATATTTGCCTTGGATAAGTAGTTTTGATGGTAGTAGACAAAGATCATGATATTAAATATTTTGTCAATGTCTACCAAAAAAATATATTTTATCAATTTAAGGCATCTTTACCCTAATGAGTTTCTATATAATGTACTTTTATGATTTAATTAATGAGATTTGAGTTAGTATGAGAAAGGGATCAGGGTTTCATTTAGAAATACAACATCTAGATACAATCATATGCAAGATTGTTAATAAAAATAATTTCATTGCTCATGGAGTGTGAACGATCATTGACATTAAGGGTGTGCAACTAGGGTTAGTCCGTACCAGATCGCACTGAAATAAATCAATAATCAGACCTAACCACACTGAATCGAATATAATATGGTCCGAACTTTGGTTTCATTAATTTTGTAACTATTAAAGAAAATAGACCTAATTGATATTTGGATAGATCAAATTGGACCAAAATGGATCGAATGCATTGTTGATATGATTCATAGTTCTAAGATGTCTTTCACTGTTACACTGCGGTTCTCCAAAATTTGGTACGGACTTTACCAGCCCGTTGCACACTCCTTCGTATCACTTTTGGGTGGGGGTAGGAATTTATAATCAAACAACATTATGATATGAGTTAAGATATGGAAATTGAAAATATTGTGTGTATAGTATATAGCTAAGATATTAGATATGAAATGGATCTACAATAAAATACTATGGCTAACATGCGAGACTTGGTAGATTGCAAAATAGTACAAATCTTAAATTAAAACATAATATAAAAATACTATTTATGTATCTATTTAATTTGAAATGGATAGAGAGTGATAAGGATAACATCCTTGGCGAACCCCCCCTAAAGTGGTAATTGTAATTTAAGAGGCACTAAATTATAAGGGTGAGTCTCAAATTACTCTTTCAACCAGATCGGATGCTGAACCAAAAAAGTTAGTATTTTAGGGTTAAATGATTAACCGTTATAAAATTATAGATTAACTGTTGATAGTTACGTTCATGATATATAAAAGACAACATTTTTATAATACACTTATTTAAGAATGAAACTATCATTGACCATAAACAATTTCAAATTCATATCATCATCAAAATATCTAACAAATCATTCAAACCGTTCCACAAAATAAACCATAATGTTTAATTCAAGTTACAAATTATCGTGCCAGTCGGTAGTAGACCACATAAAGTCGACAACGAGGATTGAAATAAGAAGAGGGAGTAGAAATAAAATTAATAATTCTGGTTTGATGGTCTAAGTTTATCTTTTTTTATAAAAAAGAGTGTAGTTAAAATAATGACCCACTGGACCAGTTAAACCGTGGTTCATATGGTTTTATGTTAAACCGTTAAAAACCGTTTGGTCCATCATTAACCGTCCAAGAAATGAACCGAACCACTATCATAATTGGTTTGATGATTCTACTAGCTCATGCGTTCATCCAGTTCGATTCTATAACAATGCCTTTTTGGGGTCGTTTGGAGAATATGAGTTTAAATCTACATATTGTCAACAATTTAAAGATTCTAACTCTCCATATTGTTGAAAACATACTTTAAAAATTTTATTGTTTGGTAAATGTGATTGTTAACCTTCAATTAAAATAAAAAATTAATTTTATATTAAATAAAAGTTGTATTCTTAATAAAAAAATTAGAGTAGTTGAAGAAATATTAAAAACTTTGTTGATAGATATATTTCATGTGATAAATAAATAGAAGTAAGAGAAAAACTAGGAGAGAAAAAAAATCTCACGAATCAAGATATAGAATCTCTATGATTATGAGAGATATGATATCCACAGATTTTAGAGTAGTTGAAGAAATATTAAAAACTTTGTTGATAGATATATTTCATGTGATAAATAAATAGAAGTAAGAGAAAAACTAGGAGAGAAAAAAAATCTCACGAATCAAGATATAGAATCTCTATGATTATGAGAGATATGATATCCACAGATTTTAGAGATTTGAAATCTCTAAAGCTAGAATCCATAATACAGATTGCAACAAAAAACATAACTTTCTACAAAATCTATGAATTCAGTGAATCCATGTCCTAAATCCTGCTCTCCGAACGACCCCTTTGAGTCCTATACCAAATCACGCTTCTGTTCTCATACTAATTGGTAGCTCCTTTAAATCATTAATGCAAATTATCAATCCGGCCAAAGGGCCGGGTTATAAGCTAGTGAGATAAATGAAGCTTTAGTATCAGAAACATATGCGCTGCCGCACCAAGCTCAAGATAGAGTGCATAACCATTGGTTATGCACCATTAATAATTAAATCTGGAACTTTCATTTAGAAAATCAAGATCTAAGGATGGAGAATTAAAGGTCATTTTTATTTTCCTTTGTTTTCTTAATCGGCTCATATCTTCTTCGTTTAACTCGGATTTCTTTTTTTTTTTTTTTTTTTTGCACAGATGGAACGAGTTCGTTGTGCTCTACAATCCGAATTCCATTTTCAATATTTTTTGAGGAAAAAAAATTATTGCCTCTCGGTACCAACTGCATACCATATGATATCTTCTTCATTTTTAATTTGTTTTTGAAAACGTTTGCACAGAAGGAACGAGTTCATCATGATCTATTGGATCTACAAATTTCTGGGTGAACAAATTACATGATCAAAAAATACCACACAATACCACAAAATACCACCTTGGTACGGGGTGGTATCTTGTAGGGGTGTAAGTTTGACCCTTAAAACCCACTGACCCGCCCCGACCCTCAGGGTCGGGCTGAGTCAGTTTGTCTATAGGGTCAATTTAGGGTTGGGTCGGCTTAGGGTCGGGTCACTTTTTGACCCTATGACCCTTAGCATCATACAAACATGTTGGACCTATTTGTAAAATTTTGTAAGTTTAGGTACTAAATTGTTACAATAAAAAAATTTGGGTACCAAAACGTAATTTTACCATCAAATTTGGGGACTTATTTGTAAAAAAAATAAAATTTTGGTACTAAAATGTAAGAAAAAATAAATTTGGGTACCAAATTGTAATTTTTAGAAAAGTAGTCTATTTATTCATATAATTCAGAAAACACAAGTTTTCTTGAAGCCTCTTGCTCATATCTCTCATCAAACGGACCTGACCCGCCCCGACCCTAAAGGGTCAGACAGGGCCATGAAAGAAACAGGGTCGGGACGGGTCAGTTATACATCTTGACCCTTCAGGGGCGGGTCAGACAGGGTTAGGGGCGGGGCGGGCCAATTTTCAGCCCTAGTATCTTGTGGTATACAATTTTAAAAGTCTTAAATGACATTTAAATATTTAATATACTTCTACTATCATGTATTCAACCATCCTACAGTGTTGGTTTGTTCACACCACCATGGTACGCTTTTCAAACCATATGTATGTTCTCATTTCAATACCATATGCATAGACCGATGAAAATTGGCTAAATTCTTTTTGTTCAAAAAATATATCAAAATGAATATCATTTTGAAAAATATAATTAATCTGATCTAACTGTGAAAAAAAATTAAATTTCAACTTAAAATGAGTGAGAAATCATCTGTCAAATTAAAAACTTTCCAGAAGAAATAAAAATGTTGACGTAAATGAGCAACTAATGACTACTCACCATAATAACTAATAACATTACTGACCTAATCCAGCCGCACCATATCGCTGCTTCCTAATCTCACGGTCACGGAGCTCACCTTCACCTTCCCTTTCTCTCACTGACCCCAACCATCTGGTCATCCATTTTCCTCGACTTCCCATCCCAGACCAGAAAACAATTCCAAATTGAATAGAAGTCTCCGCCGCCACGTCAGCCGATCCTCTCGCGAGTTCCCCTTTCTTCTCCGTCGCGGCCGCAACCCTTAATTTCACCTCCATCTACGCGAAGTCCTACTCTAATTCAGTCAGTCATATTCACTCGATTTTCCTGTTAGCTGTGCACTTGGACTCAATATTTTCAATGGAGGAAGCTGGAGGAATTGAAACCGTCCCGCCGCTGGTGAAGTTCAGAGCTGACTTTTCCAGAATCTTCCAGCACTATCTTGATAGATCAGCGCCTCTGCCGCTGCAGAGGTGGCTTGGGACGCTGGTTGTGGCGCTGATATACGTCTGGCGGATTTACTCTGTCCAGGGGTTCTACGTCGTCTCGTACGGGCTTGGGATCTATGTCCTGAATCTGTTGATCGGGTTTCTTTCGCCGAAAGTTGATCCGGAGGTTGAAGCTCTTGAATCTCTTGATGGAGCTTTGCCGACTAAAACTTCAGATGAATTCAGGCCGTTTGTTCGCCGGCTTCCTGAATTCAAGTTCTGGTAAAGTTTCTGTCTTTGCCCAAACTTTCCTGTTGTGGATTTAAGTCGATTTGAAAACAAGCTTCGAGATGAACAATTGAGGTGCTTGTTCAGCTGCTATAGAATAAGTCACCCGTCCTAGTTTTGGAGTCTGTGGTTCGGCGTTTGTAAAATGGTGGTTCAGTGAGTGATTGTTTGTTTTGGTCCCTGAAGAATTTGTCCAACAATTCATAGCTGATTCTGACCATTGTTGCTTCCTCCTTTTAGTCATATCATCAAGGAGTATCATGTGGAAACTCGCGTTGAGCCGTGTGATTAGAACACCTGGGTATCATGGCTTTATGATTGTCCATATTTAGATGTGAGCTGAAATACCTATGCGCTTAGTTATCTGTAAGTGCTTCCATTGCCATGGGGGGATACCAGATGATTTGAGCCTGTGGCATGTGGCAGAGAAGCAATGATAAGGAAGGTAGTTTTTTGTTCGATAAACCATAAACAATTTGCTTTGCTGTGTATTCCAGGTACGCCATCACCAAGGCTTTTATAATTGCTTTCATCATGACACTGTTCTCCGTGCTGGATGTGCCCGTTTTCTGGCCAATACTCTTGATTTATTGGGTAGTTCTCTTTGTTCTCACTATGAAGAGACAAATTCTGCATATGATCAAGTACAAGTATGTACCTTTCGACTTGGGAAAGAAGGTGAGCTTGTTGCTTGTGCTGCGTGGGTGTTGGCACTCTTGTTATTACCCTCCCCGTTCTTTATGTTATTCCTCCAGTTTGGTATTGTGTAGGTTGCTATGTATTGATATATTTCATGTTAATGTGTACAGAAGTACAAGGGGAGCAAGCGTTCTGAAGGTAGTAGTAGTAGCAAGTCGCGAGACTGAACTACATGAAGAGCTGATGCTTCCTTGAAACTGGCTGTGTTTTGCTCAACTGAGAAACTTGGAGTTTTCTATCTGCTTGTAGGTTGAGGGGTGTTGGCATGTCTTGAAGATGGTTGCTATCGGCAAGAAACGTCTTGATACTCCCCACTCTGCTTACCAGAAAGTGTGGTTGTTAGCTTTTAGTTGTGCTCGTAGTTCAAACAAGAGTCGATCCTTGTTGGGTGCTTTATTGTATTAAAATTCTTCAACTAACATGTCTGAAAGGTTGTCTTTGTTTTTTCGGGGTACAAGCGGTTTATTGGGGTGTGTTTTAAAAGCGAAATGGGTAGCAAAGTTACAGAAGAGTGTGAAAGCTACTGAAGTATTTAGGGTCCCTTGGTCAATTTTATCCTTGTCGTCTTTTACACCGAATGTTATACATACTTCGACGGTGATGAATTCCCTCTACCAAAAAAACTGGTTTGGTCATTTGTATGATTCCACATTAATCATTCCGCAAACTTGGACTTTTTCCAGCACTTTATTTAAAAAAAAAAATTACAAAAATACCACCCAATCCCAAAATATTCCAAAAATACCTCCATTTTTCGAAAACCGCCACCCCACCCTGCGGCAGTGGCGGATCCAGAAGGTGGCCATCCCGGGCCCCGGCCCAGCCCTCCTCTGGATCCGTAGTTAGTATAGGCCTTATGAATTTTTCGATTTTAGATATTTGGGTCGTTGTTATTTTAAAATAAGATTGAGTATAATTAGAAAATAATTCAAATGAACATATTCAAAATCACTACTCTAAATTTAGCTTATAAATTCTAACCCCAAAGGTTATTCTTCTAAAAAAACAATGAAACCTAAAAATTCAAAAAGTTCAAAACGTAAAAGACTAAAACATATATGAGGTTTGTTACCTTGGAAAATTTACTAGAGCAGCTGGTGGATATAGGGATGGAAACACAATGCAAATTGATGAGTAGATTGATTTGTCTAGTGTTGATACTGCTCGTTTCAACAGCTAATACGAATAGAACCTTTTCAACAACGAAACATGTGAAAATTGATTTGCGCAACAAAATGAGCGATGGATTTCTAGTCGATTGCTCAAGTATTTTATTTGAAACAGTGTATACTATTGGTATGGATGTGGACTCCATTATTCATGCATTCGCTAAATTAAAATACCGCCGTGTACAATTTACATTGTAAAAAAATTATAATCATATTTTTTTTACTATTCTAATTTTCTAATAAAATGCGGCCCAGTGCACTTCTGTGTTCTGGATCCGCCGCTGCCCTGCGGTTTAGGTGGGGGCGCAGTTTTTGACGAAAACCGATAGGTTACAGGGCGATTTTAAAAACCGCTGGGCGGGGCAGCGGTTTAGGGCCAAACTGCCACCTCACCCAGCGGTTTTGGTCCATTTTTTTTTCGATCAACTCCTAGTTTCGGCTGAAACTTCAAACGAACGTAACTTTGCACTCGGGTATCCGATCGTAGCAATTTTTTTTGAATCCGCATAACTTTTCGAGATCTTGCAAGTTACAAACGGCCGTAGGCGGTTTGGTCTCGCCTTCGTCTCGAAAAAACGCCATTGGCTACCCCGAACGAGCCTTTTTTCGATTTCGTCAAACTTTGGGCGGCGATAACTTTGTGCTCCAAAATCCGAACATCATGAATTTTTTTTTCATTTCGCATAACTTTTTAAGATCTACAAGTTTTACTAGGATGAAGTTTTCAAAACAGGAATTAGTTGTAGTAATTGAAAAGTTATGCGGAATAAAAAAAATGCTGGTTATATTAAAAGTTGTAGTAATTGAAAAGTTATGCGAAATAAAAAAAAATTATGACATTCGGATTTTGAAGCACAAAGTTATGGTCGTCCAAACTTATTGAGGATTTTTAGCAATCAAGGATTAAAACTTTGTTAATATATAATTGTTTTATAAGAGGAGTTGCAGTGTGGTGGTTTTTCACCTGAATTCACTGGTTGACACTGCTACAGGTATATTTGTTGAAACTTACACGTTAGGTTTTTCACCTATTCCGTATGGCACTCAAGTCTCTATCTTCCTTATCATCTCCACACCATAATAGCAGTAAAAGGATATCCCAAAGCTGTTAATTAGTAGTTCAAATCAGTGACCCAATAGGGAGCAGCAGCTTCAGAATTGTCCTCCTATTAAAGTTTGTAGTTTGGTTCAACGGACATGACTTTCATATTCAATCCAACCAATCAGCATAAGAAAAAAAATAAAAACAGATCAAAACTTTTGGGGAACGATCATCATCAACCGGGAAACATGAGTAGAAGGAAACTTGACAATAAATACGTGTTGAATAACTTTTTGGTGAAGAAAAAGCACCAAAGAAACCACTTTCAGATTTCCAAAGTGAACATGAGCATACTGATTTGCAAATTGTAGCTTAAATTGCAATCAAGTTCACTTTTTCTTACATAAAACCCCCATACTTACTGATAAGAGCCTAGCTCGTGATAGCCTAGGTTCTTTTGTCAAAGTCGCGCAACTTCAATTCAAGCTCGGATAGCTCAAATTGATCTTCATGTTGGGATTTTAAAGGTGTGAATGAGAATGAAAGGGGAATAAGCCAATAGTTGGTGAGTTATTGGTTAAACCAAGTTGAACCGAATCGGACCGAACCGATGTGGCGGTTGGAATAAAACCAACCGGTCCAACTACTATGGCGAACCGATGCAATGGTTGGGGTGTAACCACCCACTTGAAGGGTTACATCCCTTCACTGAACCATTGCAATGGTTGGGGTGTAACCACCCACTTGAAGGGTCACATCCCTTCACTCGCACCCCTTCATTGTCTATAAATAAACACCTAACCCCTTCTGTTTTCTATACAAGTTATTTCCCAAGAAATTTTTCTGGCCAAAAGATAAAGAGTTTTTCATTCTTCATTGCATTTCCTCTCTACAAACTCATAAAGAAAAACAGAGTCGTGTGACTTCTCTCCGATCGTTGCGTTCGTCGGATTCTGGTGTTTCAAGTACCGGTACAGCCAGAAAAGGTACGTCCGTTCTATCCTGGGAGGAATAGTTCCAATAACCTTGGGTACCGTAGAGGGGAACTAAATTCCTTAAGGAGAAATAGTGAATTCTATTGGCTCGGGCGTTGTTTGTGCATGTGTCGATTTCTATATATGACTTGTGTGGCAAGAAACATACTTTTGTGAAACGTTTTCCATAACAATCTTAAGGAATTTATTATTCACGTTTACTACTAGCATAGCAAAGTTGATATAGGATTCTGTTAGTTTGATTAATCTGTCGAGCGATTAAGTGTTGATATTCCAATTAATGATAAAAGTGAAAATGTACCGCTCGGTTCCTTTTTGCTTTAAGGAAATTTGGATATATACATCTTCGGCATAATATATTCTGTTTATTGTGGTGATTATGCATGTAATAGGGTTCTGTTTTGAATCGGGTCATTATATGAACAGTGCTTCACGCTGTGCGAAATTAGTTTCCATGCATGTATAAGAATTGATTTAGCCTCTCATCAGAAGGATTCCGATTCCTTTATTGATGATATAAACTGGGAAGTTGATAGATCAGTGCATTCGATTATGCATGCAAAGTAGTGTTGTCTCCTTGACTAAACCCATGAAATGCATTGGTCTGTGGAAATGATATGCATCTATTGGCATATGTGTTTGTGCTTCTTTGCTTTTTGAAACGTCGAGTTTGGCATCTTTCCATGTAATCTCTTCATCTCAATGCTTCAAATTTGGCTGCGTGAGTGGTTCTCTATTTCGGCATGCTTAAGAAACCGAAAGAAAGAATGGCAGAGTTTGGAAGGGTTTTTTTTATCTCTAATTCACTGTTCATTGCAAGAAAAAAAAACCTTGGTTTCTGATTTGGTCAGTGTGTTCATTCTGTTAGAAAAGAAAATGGTTGTTAGCACCCCCGCAGTATGGAGTCCAACTCACGAGGATGATGATGATGACGTCATAGAGGTCATCAATATCGAATCAGATCCGGAGATCATTGATATCTCTACTCCCGAAATGGAGTTTGACTGATTTGATCAGTGTGTTCATTCTGTTAGAAAAGAAAATGGTTGTTAGCACCCCCGCAGTATGGAGTCCAACTCACGAGGATGATGATGATGACGTCATAGAGGTCATCAATATCGAATCAGATCCGGAGATCATTGATCTCTCTACTCCCGAAATGGAGTTTGACAATGAAGAGTGGTTCGATTTTTTTGACGATAGCGGGGCTTGGCTATATAATGACATTGGTGGAGAGCATCCAACCAATTATTGGACTCTAGATGATATACCCATCTATGATTGGTACTCACTGGGTCCTAATGTGGATGATTTGGGCACCCATGTGGACTCGATGGAGAGTATGGGGGAAGTTGAGGAATCGGAGAACGAGGAGGAGTACTCCGACATAGAGACCGATGAATGCCTCTCTGATCCTGACTTCGACCCCAAGAATCCTTAGGATTCTTCTATATGTATTGTAATCTCCTTTGAGGAGTAGACATATGTATGTGTGTATATATACATACGGTATTAGTAGGTGTGTACCTATGTAATTCGTGTATTTACATGATGAAGGAAGGACAAATGTTCTTATCTCCCAAGTGGAAAAATTAGTTGGATAAAACCTTACGAGTTTGTTTGTTTCCAAAATTAACCACAAAGTTTTAATGCTTTAATTGCATTGGTCCATCTCAATTATGTGGCATGGATGAATGACAATTGTACCAATTTAATTTGGACACTTTTTCCATTCAAGGTGATGCATGAGATGATGGACGTACTTATGATAGTCCTTCATGGACTCTAAGTAACGGTGGTTTGGATAGTAATAAACTATCCAGTGGGAAGCTGTGTACAATCATAGGTGTGTAAAACATATGGCGCATGGCAAGTGGGTACTTGTGAGTCAAGTCTATCTAAGCCAGAATGTTTGCATAGGTTATGTTCAAATTAAGTTGAACATAGTTATGAAAGAGTATACCTCCAATGTGTTGGAGATGAAATTTGGTTAATGCACGTTTAAAGGATTGCATTACGAGTAAGCCATAAGTGATAAGGAATTATAATTCCTAAGATGCTTGTGATGACATAATAATTTATTTATTATGTATGTGGTTTAGGACTTGATGTTTCCTATGCCACGAGGGCAAGGAAAATGAAGCTATGATTGATCCTTATAGGGTTTAATAAGCTTGCCAAATGATGGTCGTCATCAAGATAAGCATTAGGTCAGAATTGTTTATGGTATAAGTACACTATACCATTGGAAAATAATTTGACTATGATTTTCAACGTGGAGCTAATTGCCAGAATTGTTTATGGTATAGATAGATGTGTATCATTGGAAAACAATTTGGAATGAGAGCTCAATTGAGATGATCAGATTGAACTTAAAGACTGGATTACTTGTGGTATATTTATGAAGTTTATACCATTGGAAAGTAATTAGACAATTGAATTAGAAATTCGTTTGAATTACTTGTGGTATATCATGTTACATGAATGAGATGTCATTGGTAAGTAATTAGATGGGATTTCCATTACTGGAATGCGTCTGAATTACTTATGACGTCTCAAGTTGCCTTGATCAAAACCATTGGTAAGTAATTAGATGATGATTCTAATAAAATCTGAATTGTTTGTGGTATGCTAATCGAGTGAGATCATACCATTGATAAACAATTAGATACATATAGTGGTTGGCAAGTTCAATAAGTAAAACCATGGAAACTAAATGGGATTATTCCATGATGTTTGGCAAAGGGTAGAATTGTGGGGGAGAAGAGCTAGCCATTGTTTTGGCTACTATCTCAAGACCCTACAATGGGACGCTAACCTATCCATAAGACAAAAGTGGAAAGGTAAACGAAGTCATACTTGAAAGTATGAAGGTGTTCAATGAGAAAGTGAGAGTCCTTAAAACCTCGTGGAGTTAACCCAGTCCAAGGGTATAACTTATGAGTAAACTCTAGCATATATTGACGTTATGTCATTGATGTTGATCCACTCTTCCCAAAGAGATGATTTTGACCATATACATGAATGTATATGAACAACATTCCCCAAACCGGAAACGTTAGTTTCAACAACTATGGCGAAATAGTTGAAATGTGGGGGATAAATTGGGGAGAAGTAATGTGGAATGTCGCTTGGGTGATTCTAAAGTGAAAGTGATACTTAGAAGTTTTGCGTAAACCCTAAGCTAAGTCATAAATGTCACTACATTTAAAGAGATACTGGTGAAGCTCAAGTACTCTTAAGGTTAATGAGTGGAGAGACTTCAATACCGTTGGCATGTGTTATGATTATTGCAAGGCAATAAAATCAAGTCAAGCTCCCAAGATGTGTAGTGCATTGAAAAGAGACGAGTCTTTGGTGTATTGTACCCAAAGGGAACTCACCGGATGAACCAAAAGGCAATCTAATAATGAATATGCATTTATGGTTGATGGGGAGCAGTACCTTGGAAAAACTTCCAAGTTAAACTATGTACCCACTCTAAGACCGGTGAAGTTCTAGAGTATGCCCGCAAAGACTGGCGTTAATAAAACGCACTTGTGCACAAAGGTGTTATTGCAAGGGCTAGGAGTGTTATGTGATAAATCTCGTCAAAGATAACGGAAACGTAACACTATGGATTGATTAATTTCTAGCAAAGTTATTTGGATTGATCATCTTAGATCGAGTGGTAACAAACGTTAGGCCTACCTAGAAATTAACGATAGAATCGAAGGGAATGGACTCGTGGCCTAGGACAAATCATCGTAACTCTACCTAAGCAGGATTGGCAGACCCAACCTCTAGGTTCAAGGAGAAAACAAAGTTGTGAATGATGGTCCGACATTGTCAACTTATTCAAAGTCCATTCTCATGATGAGACAATGTCCAAAATATAAGGGTAAACCTAAATATGAAAGGTTTTTAATGGTTTCTAAGTTTGACACGTGTTGTGATCAAATAGTGTATTTTCGGAATACATGTTTAGAAATCACCTATGTGAGTGTGAAGTGGAGCCGCTTCAAAGGAGAATAAAAGAAGGCCAATTCTCTACGCACTCATGATACCAGGCGGTGTTCATGGCTGAAACGAACACAACAATGAGAACCAACGAGCGGATAAGAGTTGGTTGTGTGACATATGTTGTCTTAGTATACAAGAAAAACCGACGGTTCAAAGATATCATATCTACCGATTGGTGAGTATACTCGATATATGTTCACTAGGGAAGGTTCAAAGGGAAACCCACCTATCCTAATACAACTAATTCTTAGTTAAGAGTCACACAGTTTTTTGCATAGTTTTCAAAATTTAGCATTCTCTTTCATGTGGGGGATTGTTGGGATTTTAAAGGTGTGAATGAGAATGAAAGGGGAATAAGCCAATAGTTGGTGAGTTATTGGTTAAACCAAGTTGAACCGAATCAGACCGAACCGATGTGGCGGTTGGAATAAAACCAACCGGTCCAACTACTATGGCGAACCGATGCAATGGTTGGGGTGTAACCACCCACTTGAAGGGTCACATCCCTTCACTCGCACCCCTTCATTGTCTATAAATAAACACCTAACCCCTTCTGTTTTCTATATAAGTTATTTCCCAAGAAATTTTTCTGGCCAAAAGATAAAGAGTTTTTCATTCTTCATTGCATTTCCTCTCTACAAACTCATAAAGAAAAACAGAGTCGTGTGACTTCTCTCTGATCGTTGCGTTCGTCGGATTCTGGTGTTTCAAGTACCGGTACAGCCAGAAAAGGTATGTCCGTTCTATCCTGGGAGGAATAGTTCCAATAACCTTGGGTACCGTAGAGGGGAACTAAATTCCTTAAGGAGAAATAGTGAATTCTATTGGCTCGGGCGTTGTTTGTGCATGTGTCGATTTCTATATATGACTTGTGTGGCAAGAAACATACTTTTGTGAAACGTTTTCCATAACACTTCAAACAAACACAAAAGTAAAGGATATGTGGGGATAGATACTCACCACAATCAAGTGTGATCGCTTGATTGATAAGAGTCTTGTTAAGCTCTTTTGGAATCTTCAACATAAATATTCAAACAAGGGTCTAGCCCGAGCTATGGAATCCACCAATAGCAAACCAATATACCACAAGCACCCATGCTCTATTTGGAAAAATCTACAGAGCTAATTTTCTTTCAACAAAAGTCTCTCTAAACTCTAAATTTGTGTTTACAACCCTTTATATAGCCCAGGGCAAATAATATAATCATAAATCCAAAAAGAAACAAAAACCTAAACCTAAAAGAAAGGCTAAACTCGGCCAGAACCAAAACCAGTCCAAATACCCGGTCGGGTATTTTCCTGTCACTACCAAGGGGTATTCTGCTTGAATTATCTGGTCTCGTCTCCAAATCCCCGATCGGGTATTTAATAGCGCCGACCGGATATTCTTCTGTGTGGGGAATGACATCAGTCCCTCCTTATTGAAGAAGCTTTGCCCTCAAAGCTTTCCATCCTGACTTCTAAACAAAATTTCCTGTATAATCAGCACCAAGAAATAACACGCATCCTCTACAATTCCACGGAATCAAAAGCTCAAACAACCGATCAAACATGAGCTCCAAATCATGAGTTTCCAAGCTCAAGTCAACATGAATGTTTCCGTGAAACCTCTAGCCAGGTTTCCAAACATAATTGGTTGCTCCAGCGGCATCCAAACTTGAAGTTCCTCGTCCCAAATCTTTAACCTTCACTGGACTCAAGTCACCGCCATCTACCTTCTTGCATTCACAACAATCAGTCGTCCAAAGCAAGTTACCAAAGCTCAAAGCTTGAAGACTCCTGCACGAGAATTCATCATCATCATAATAATAAAAAGGATCGCGATAAATCATCCGCTCTTTCTCCATCGCGACCTTCTCGTAAAAATATTCTTCTTCCTTCTGTTGTTCTGGAGTCTCTGATGTTGGAGACCATGTGGTTTCCTTCGAGGAACTCGTCAGAACTGGTGGCTTCTCTTGACTCTTCCTCTACCTCAATGTTAACTTCCTATGGCCGAGAAACGTCTGCACTCTGCTGCACCGAAGAACTCGAACTCGATCGCTATTCCACACAGTTTGAAGTAAAGCTTCCACCTGAGTCATCTGTGCTACCAGCGATTCATGGCTTCTTCTTCATACTCTTATTGTAATCGTTGCAAAGCCTTCCAATCATCTGCAACTTCCTCCGGGGATAAAGTTTTCAAAACGAATACCTTGTTCTGATGCCGCAATCGAAAGCTTTTCAACCTTCTGCTGACCTAATGAACTCCACGATCTTGGAACCACGTTTGTCCCAACACAATATGATTTTTAAGCTTGGACACCACGTCGCACAAATGTGTCTTCATATCTGCCAATCGAAAACTTAATAGAAACCTGTCCAACCACGATGCTGGAAATCTTCTTGCTATGTGACTATAGCACGTATGGAGCTGGAGGTAGACACATTAGCATCCCCAATTTTTTCACTATTCTTGAGCTAATCAAATTTGATTTGATCCTTCCATTTACAAGCACAAAATACACCTTTTCTTGCACCAAACAAAGAGTATAGAACATATTACCTTGCTCTATTGATTTCGCCATCGCCAGATCTTCTTCTCCTGTCCACTTATTTGAATCGAAACTTTGATACCACCTGATAATAGCCCGAGCTCGTGATAACCTAGGTTCTTTTGTCAAAGTCGTGCAACTTCAATTGAAGCTCGGATAGCTCGAATCGATCTTCAAACAAACAAAAAAGTAAAGGATACGTGGGGATAGATACTCGCCAAAATTAAGTGTGATCTCTTGATTGATAAAATTCTTGTCAAGCTCTTCTGGAATCTTCAACAGAAAAACTCAAAGAA